GGTAGTTCCACAGTCATAGTGTAGAGGGGCCGCTTTCAAAGTGCGAAGCAGATATCTCTGATTGATCTCCGCTCGGGATATTGGCAACTGTCGATCGCAGAAGAAGATCGCCACAAGACGGCTTTCAGTGTCAATGGCCAGCAGTATGAGTTTTTGAGAATGCCGTTTGGATTGTGCAACGCCCCGGCTACATTCAGGCGTTTGTTGTTGATGGTCCTCGCGAACCTGCAAGGCGTGGTTGTGTACGGTGATGACATCATCGTCTTTTCTGAGACGGAACAGGAACATGTGACCAGCCTTGGAGCAGTACTGCAGAGGCTAGATGAAGCTGGTCTGAAACTCAGTCGTAAAAAGTCGCAGATTGCCCAAAAGTCAATTGTATGCTTGGGTCACATCGTGGGCAATGGTCAAGTCCATCCACTTCCGGAGAAACGCAAGACGATCAAGTGCTTCGCAAAACCAAAATCCAAGCGGCAGCTCAGTTCGTTCTTGGGAGTGGTGGCATATGATTCAAAGTTTGTGCCCCAGTTCGCAGAGAAGGTCAGCCCGTTGTTAAAGCTGCTTCGCAAGGACGTGCCCTTCGTGTGGACAGCTGAAGCGGATCAGGCCTTTGACCATCTAAAGACAGGCATAGCAGAAGCCCCGACATGTCTACGGCTACCCAATCCTGGTGAGAGATTCACTGTGGCTGTCGACGCAAGCAACGTGGCCATCGGTGCGGTTTTGTCTCAACCGGCTGGGGTGGTGGAGTACGCGAGCAGAGTGCTGACGGGGGCGGAACAGAAGTATTCAACAACGGAGAAAGAATGCTTGGCCATCGTCTGGGCGTTACAGAAGTGGAGAAATTACTTATTGGCGAATGAATTCCGGGTCGTCACTGACCACAAACCGCTCTCGTGGTTGATGACGGCGAAAGACCCGCGGGGACGGCTTGCGCGATAGGCCTACCGATTGCAGGAATTCAACTTCATCATTGAGCACGTGGATGGGATGCAGGATGTATTGCCAGATATGCTGTCACGCCCGTGTTTGGACGACATCATGCCCGACAATGCCATACCGGTGCGTGCGTTCGCGATGGGGGAGAGGAACCTGCTGGGAGATCAAAGGACAAATGAATTCGTGAAGGTGTTGTGCTCTCACTTACGGGCTGGCAGCAAACCGGAGGCTACATCGGAGGAGGTGGAGGAACTCCTCAAGATCTGGGACAGGTTGAAGGTCGAAAACGATAACGTGGTGGTGGCGATAGACGGACGGAAAGTGCCTTTTGTTCCTGGAATTTTCCTTCAAACAATTTCTTGATGCTCTGGCCACCGCAGAGGATAATCAACGGTGCCCTATCTGCTGCATCGAGCAGGGTGGATAGGGGTTTGGATGCTACTGCTCAAGCCTTCCCGTCTTCTTATTCCCCCTCTTACGCTTTTCACTCTTACCGTCCCATTCCAACTTCACTTATATCCCCCCAGTTTTCAACCCCCCGATTCTTGGCCCTCCCCCAACATGCTTTGCTAGGCATTTATCTTCTAATTTCAACTCACACGTGAACGCGGAGCGTCACTCCTCTCCTGTCGACAAGCCCATGTCCAACCAAGCGGTCCAATCCAGTTCATCGGCTTCCATTTGGAGCCCTCGATCCTCCTTCAGATTGGCATGCCTCAATGTACGCACACTGCTACAAATCGGTCAACAGGCAGCACTTGCCCGAACATTGGAGACCCTCTCGATCGATATCTGCTGCTTATCAGAGACTCGCCTGCAAGACTCGAGCACTGTGCTCACTCTGCGATCCCCTTCAGGGGACGCAAGCAGTATTTTCTCCTTGCGCCTATCCGGTGACGATGCAGCTTCGAGCACCGGCCAAGCCGGTGTTGGTATTGCCCTGAGTCCCCGGGCTGAAGTTGCTCTGGTTGATTGGATTCCAATCAGTAGCCGGATGTGTGCGGTCCGATTGGCTGGCTCGTTTAAAGCTTCGAAGCCGCACAGGACTAATAGATGTCTATTCATCATCGCTGCCTATGCGCCCACAAATTGTAGCGATGATTCGGTAAAGAACGACTTCTACCGCCAACTGACCCAGCTCCTTCGCCACAGAAGAAGCACGGACACTGTTGTGCTGGCGGGGGATATGAACGCACAAGTTGGAAAATTGTCCACTGATGAACTGCATCTGGGCGGTCAACACGGTGTAGGCTCCCGTAATGATAACGGTGAGCGGTTACTTCATTTGTGTGAAGATGCTCGCTTATTTCTTGCGAGCACTAATTTCCGACACAGCACTCGCCGGAGGGTGACTTGGCGCCCACCAACCTCGAACCAGCCTTGCACGCAGATCGATCACATTGCGATAAGTTACCGCTGGAGAGGCTGCATCCAGAATTGTCGCTCGATTTGGAGCACTTGTGTGGACACCGATCATGCACTTGTATGTGCTGACATGCGGATGCGTTTTGGCGGACGCCCACGACGACGCTGTGAGCGTATTGACACCAGCCAACTGACAAAACCAGCTGTTCTGAATGCGTATCAAAGTACGCTAACATGCGAGTTGAGCAAGCGCTCACAGGAGACAATTGATGGTCACTGGTCACATGTTCGCCAGACCTTACTAGCAGCAGGAAAATCCTCATGTGGTATGTCTAATAGACAACATGGACATTGGGTCTCTTCGCAGTCTCTGGAACTTATAGATGCTCGCCGGCAAATCCCGGCTGGAAGCGAGCACAATGAAACTCGCAAAGAGCTCCGGGCAAAACTCCGTGCTAGCCTGAGAGAGACCGCGAATCTTGGTGGTCTCATCGTGCGTCAGAGATGGAAGTGGCCGCTGCCCTTGGCAACCATCGTAAGTTATTCCGTCTGATAAGGGAAACGGGCAGCAGGAGACCTGGTGTTAGTGAAACTATACGTGACGAGAGTGGACAGCCTATCCACAATTTGTCAAAACGTCTGGAGCGTTGGGCTGAGCATTTTGAAAAGCAATTTAATCGGCAAGAATTGTTCGATTCGCCGGTCACTGATCGCCCTGCTCCGTGGGCTGTCCATTTGGATCCACCCTCTCGCTCAGAAGTCGAACGTGAGATCGGACTGTTGAAGTTGAACAAAGCCGCGGGACCAGATGATCTTCCTCCAGCCCTCTTCAAATTTGGAGGCTCTGCTCTTGTTGATGCTTTGCATGAATTACTAGTGAAACTGTGGGAGCAGGAAATTGTCCCAACCGACTGGAGCCGCTCCGTTATTGTTCCCATCTTCAAAGGCGGCTCGCGCTCGGAATGCGGCAACCATAGAGGAATCAGTCTGATCTCCATCGCCTCCAAATTACTCGCCTCCATAATTCTCCACAGACTGACTGGCGCTCGTGAAAGCCAGATTCGTGAGGAGCAAGCCGGGTTTCGTCGGGGTCGTGGCTGCATCGACCACATCTTCACCTTGCGTCAGTTGTTGGAGCACCGTCACACATATTGGCGGCCCACCATAGTCGTGTTCCTCGACATCAAAGGTGCCTTCGATTCGGTTGATCGATGTGCCCTTTGGAATTGTCTACTCAGGAAAGGTGTGCCCGAGAAATATGTAAATATTATCCAAGCATTATATGCGCGTAGCACGAGCAGAGTAAGGGCTTACAGCAGGCTGTCGCCACCCTTCAATATCTCCAGCGGTGTGAGACAAGGATGCCCGCTGTCATCTTTCCTGTTCAACTTCGCTATTGACGAAGTCATGGAGATTGCATTTACAGGACATGACTTGGAAGGTGTGGAGCTACTCCCAGGAGAACGACTTCTTGACTTAGAGTATGCAGACGACATTGCCCTCATCTGTGACAGCTCCCAGACGTGTCAAGCCGCGCTGGACAGATTAGCACTGGCTGTCAGTCGCTTCGGGCTTTGCTTTGCACCAACGAAGTGCAAAGCGTTCCTCCAGGATTGGCAGGGATCGCCCCCTGCGCTGACCCTTGGTGGGGATCAGCTAGAAGTCGTTCAGAAATTCAATTACCTGGGAAGTTGTATCAGCGCCCTTGGGATCGAAGACGAGATCACGAACCGCATAGCGAAAGCTCGAAGTGCTTTTGCTAACCTTCGCCACCTATGGCGATGGCGCGACATTACTCTCGCCCTGAAGGGTAGAGTGTACAATGCAGCGGTACGTTCGACCTTACTGTACGGTTGCGAAACCTGGCCCCTAAGATCGGCGGACATGAAGAGGCTACTTACGTTCGACCATCGGTGCCTTCGCAGTTTGGCTCACATCTGGTGGGAACACCGCGTGAGTAACGAGCGTGTTCGACGCCTTGTTTACGGCCTAGGAAAAGGGAATGAACCGCTCAGCACCGTCATTTCACTCACCAGGCTCCGATGGCTGGGCCACGTGTTGCGCATGCCAGCCCACCGACTCCCTCGACGTGCGTTGTTTGCTCACCGGGGATGTGGGTGGAAGAAGAGGAGAGGTGGCCAAGCGATGACTTGGTCCAGAGGAATGAAGGCCCTCACTTCGGAGCTGGCCTCAGTTGGAGCTTCACGGCTCCCTGGTTGGGGTCCAAAAGACGGTGAACACGTTTGGCTGGATACACTTGCTGATATGGCAAGGAGCCGACCTCAGTGGCGTTCCTGCTGTGAGTTTCTTTGTCCCTCCCCATCCCTTTAGCCTCCCCCTCCATCTACGATCTTATCTCGTAGGGTAAAACGTAATTAAATTTTTGTTTTTGCCTAGTAGCCGGCTAGTAGCTTACCGGAACGATGCGTATCCGTTGCTGGTAGCTCAGCTGGCATTCAACTGTCGTATTTATTTTTCCTTTATGTATTGTATGTATGTATGTATTTCCTTTATGTATTGCGGTACAATAGCGGAGGTGTTTTACTATCTCTAGCTGACATGTATAATAACAACAATAACACATTTGTTCCACCAAATCAGCGAGAACGTGTGATGCGCATAACTCATGATGGCGCCCATATGGGATTCGAGCGGGTCTTTGAATTGCTGCGGAGGCGAGTGTTTTGGCCAACCATGAGGAAGGACGTCGCGGCATACCTACGGGAGTGCCCAAACTGCCAAACGAGTCGGGAGATGGAGTCGCCGAGACCGCCGATGCGATCGATGGAGGTTGGAGAGCCACTTCAGTGTTGGGGACTGGACGTCTTTGGGCCCTTACCAGTGAGTCGAACAGGAAACAGATACATTCTAGTGATGATTGACCACTTCATTCGATGGGTGGAAGCCATACCAATCAAGGACCAAACAGGCGAGACAGTGTCGCAAGTATTCGAATTCAATGTGCCTGCACGGTATGGGATCTCACAGTGTATCATCACGGACCAAGGGCCCTGCTTCGAGTCAAGAGCGTTTAAGTCAGTGTTGGACAAGTGGGGCCTCCAGAGACGGCGAACTTCACCGTACCACCCACAAACCAACGGGATGACCGAGCGGTTCAACCGGACATTGAAGACGTGGATAAACTGCACGAAGTTGGCATGGGAAGATGCTTTGCCTCAGGTTCTGATCGCGTATCGGACCAGCATGCAATCAACCACCAAGGTCTCGCCATTCGAATTACTGTTCGGCAGAGAACCACGGATTGCGCTCGATACTTGCCTACCGAACCAGGGTGAGTGGAAACATCCAGCTGAGCATCAAGAGCGACTGCGATGGAAAGCTAGAAGCGAAACCAAAGCTCGACAAGCGCGGAATAAGCGAAATTACGACGCCAGGCATGAGGCTTACAAGTGGAGGCCATTCAGGATTGGAGAACGGGTCAAGTTACGGAACAACGATCGGCCGGATCATGACGAGCCTGGGCGCAAGCAAGTTCAGAGAACGCTGGAAAGGCCACTACACCATTATCGACCAGAAAGTGGGCAACTTCTTAATCGACTGCGGAGGAATGAAACGTTGGGTGAATGCTGCTCTCCTGTGACCATGGTACGAGAGGAAGAAAGGTCCTGGAGGAGGGGCGGGTGTAGAGGGGCCGCTTCCAAGAATGGCTCTGGGGAGCTCTTCGGAGCTAGCTGAGAGCGGATCGCGAAAGACGGCTAGCGACGAGCCTGGGCCCGGAACTACGGAGCGGGAATATGGGGACAGCGCAATAAATCAGACAAATACGCCGCTAGCGCAGCTCACAGGACAGAGGCCGAGCCGATTGACACAGCCCAGAACAAGCAAGTCGAGAGCTCTCGAACGACTCCTGGCCGATCCAAATCGGGTGCAGAGAAGCGGAGATCGAGGCGAAAACAGGAAGGCGGATCTTCCAAGTCAGAGCTCCCGAGGCGAAAGGACTGGCT